AATTTGTTTTTGTACGAAATTATCCTGTTTTGTTTATAGTGTATTTTGATTGTTACTAACATTTTTCTTTACAATATTTTGATATCTTATTACAAAGGATATAATGAAAAAAAAAATAAAAAAAGTTGAAGACGATTATGTATATATTGTGAAAAATATATGTATAAATTAAAGGAAAATACACAAGCATCATAAGAGTAAAAGGGGTACAATCATATGACAAGGACGATAATTCTATATACTATGTATACTCCCCGGATCAGTCGGTAGATCTTAGACATTCTCAGACTCGAAATATTTGATCTTAGGTGCATTTTCTTTTGGAATATTATTGTTTGGGTACGACCGGACAACTACCGATATCCATTAATATCTTTTCTTCTCATTTTTTCGTAACCTATCGGAGCGGGTATTTTTTTAGATGTGGAACTTGCAGACTTCATTGGTTGTGATATTGATCTTAAGCAGGTTCTGAAAGAGAGAATATAAAGACTTGTAGAGACCCTCTAGTTTTCTATCTAGGGGTTATATATATATATATATATTTGAAGTTTAAAATTTTCATTTTTGTATTGTTATTAAAATTAAGTATGTGTACATTTGAAAAGTTGAAAGAGTTTTCTTTTATGCGTAAGAAATAATGAGTATATATATTGATTTAAAATGATATTATAATTGTAATTAATTACTTTTATTCTACATTGAAAGATATTTTTTCAAGCAAAACCTATTAATTTAACTAAATAATAAGACAAATTAATAAGAAAAACTATCTAAAAATAAAAATGATAAAAATATACTAAAATGAATATAGCACGTCGTATTAACAAGATTGAACATTTAATAATACAAAATTAACATTTATATATATAAAAATGAACCTTTTATATAACCCGAAAATTATAAGATGACGTCATTATGAGAGAAGGGGGGTGCGGGCAGAGCTATCTAAATAGAGGTGTAGGTAAAAATTTGTAGTGACATTAGGACTTGAGACAAAGTATGGGAGAAGAAATTAGTTTTCGTTTTAGCATTATTATGGATACCGCTCAATTTAAATAGCTATCATTTGGGTGTAATTTACTGATGAACTTTAAAAAAAATAATAAAAATCTTGGAATAATGTGAACAATATGGGCTCTGAGAAATTAAAACTAATGTGTGAAAGTTTTACATAGGAAAATAAAACTAGCGTTGACTAAAGTATGACTTATCAATGCTACACGTTTGATTCATTGGATCCCTCTTTGGTGTGTCTATTTTCTCCATTTTTTCAACACACAAATTTTTCAAGCTTTGACTATATTTTTTCACGATTATTATGTAAATATAGAATTATTATGTAAAATGCTATTGGATTAATGACTAAAATGAATAACGACCATAAAAATGATTAGAATTTTGAGGAAGCGTCTTATATTCTCCTCGTTTACTTGTTTTTGTGTCAGTCCATTTAACATTCCAACATGGCATGATTGCCTATGTTAGCCTATTGAAACTTTCAAATTGGGCATTGTAGCACTCCGTAGTTTTGTACATTTGTATTCAATTAGGCCATTACACAAGTTGCAACTTTCAGCCCATTTAATCATGAAATTTGTAAAATTAACATATTGTCATTACTTTCTTCTATTTATAATTCAACTATCAAAGTTTGAATCCGCCATTATAATACCTAATTTTAATTTACTTAGTTTACCTTTATACTCATAATTAAGTAATTACATGTGAATATATATACTATTTTTTCTCCAAAGACATGATGTGTGGAGGAGGACTATATTGTAGAGTGATTTAAAATTTCGTACTAAAACTAACCATGTGAATTCACATTGTAAGGTCATCTCGTAATGTTCAATTAGAACTTTATAGTACAATTAAGTAGTACTCCACCATTAAGTATGATTAATGTATATCCATAATTCATGTCATAATACCGTTCCCTATGCCTAACCAATTGCGAATTAACATTACAATAGCAAACTAAAATCCTAAATTTAAGTTTTCATGTAGTAGCTTGAAAGAGCAATTAGGCAGGAAAATGGGGGATTTAACCTCATACGATGTAAAAGAGGCGTGAAAAGTACTCATAATAGTTTGTTGGATCAATTGCATGTGATGGACTGACTACTCAATATTAGTGTAGACAATGCTATAACAAGAACAAGCAAAAATTAACTACAATTCATTGTTGTTTTGGCCATTAAAAGGAATTTGGGTTAGGTTTTATCATCCTGACGGACCTTAATTTACTTTTAATAGTACTTATCGATCTTTTGCTTTAAAAAAACATAGAAAAAAAGAACTTGGGTTAATTAATTCTATGCCTTTGACTAGCTATTTTCGGCTTACTTCCTAATCACATTAATATTGATCATTGCTCCGTATTGTTTATGCGCTAATTATCTTGGGAATATTGATTTGAGTAAGTTAATGCCTAAGTAAGGAAGTTCTCAACTACCAGACTCGTGGTTGATCTTATCATTTTAAGGATAAGATAACGGTCCAATCCCATCTTCCCATGTTCTTGGTGGTATATTGGATGGTGATACTTGGAAATGTCAAATGGGTACGGATTGCGGTTTAGTCAGATTTGAATCAAATAATCTTAAAGTATATTATGCTCACTTCGTCCTTAAATTTTTTTTTTTTTAATATTTGGATAGTGATGGTCTCACAAAATACGAATAGCTTTTAGAGACAGAGAGAGTAATTATGATTACTAATCCTCCTAACGGGTAAACATTGAATATAATTTTTTTTTATTATTATATAATTGATTTTTTTTTAATTTGCTAATATATAATAAGGTATGATATATGTACTAGTTGCTTTCAATAATAATCAACTAATATACCAAACAACAAAAGTAGTTGGCACAATGGATCATCTATTGACCCACTTTTTAAATTAGAAAAGTTTAAAATCCACAAATATATACTCAAACCCAATTTAGGGTTAGTTCAATCAATTTGAATAAAATCGATAGTTCATATTTCGATTTCTACTAGGACTTAAAAAGTTTAAAGTGACATGTAAAAAAGACGTGATGGTTGACATTAACTTAAATTCATTTGTTAATCCACAATCTAATAGTGAATACTTGTATAAGTATTTCTTTTATAATAATCTAGAAATTGAAAATATTTATGTGTATGTACTTGGAAATCGAGAAGTCAAATGGTCGCACCCATCTTTTCCATCCTTTGTTTTTCTCAAAAGCACTGGCCTCCATTGTTGGTTGTAGATATGGAGGCCTTAAGAAAGTTATAGATATGAGTCAATCACATCAACTAAACTACCAGCATACCTTTAATATGTTGATCAAATCAAACATAAATTTTCAATTGATTCATCATAGTAATTAGGTACATTATTATCATTACTTAATGAAAGTAAAGGGAACAGATTTGATTGTGAATGACAAGCTAAGCCACAAAACTGAATGTTTTTATGGAAAGCCAAAAGATCAATTATGCAAATATGATCTGATATTTCTCATCAACATTTCATAATAATTATTATTATCCATTCTAAATTTCCAATTTTAAGATGGCCGACGTTGTGCACTAATTGATTTGAGTACAGTATATTCAAACTTTTACAAGTTAGCCGCCATATACAAATTTTTTAGTGTGTTACATAATAATGTCATGTTAAAGTTGTATCATATTAAGAGTAATAGTACCATTAATTTTGACTATTTGTCGTTGAAGGTGAGCAGAAATGGCAACATACTTTAGTAAAAACTACTTTGGTTCATTAAACCATCAAATCATGTCGTAAGACTCGCAATCATGTACTCCATCTAATGGTACTCCGTAGTTATTAATTAAGCTCTTTAGTCCTTATTATATATAAAGAAAATAATTTTGTATCTAGATATATTATTCGTGTTACTCAAGCATGAAAAAATAGAAGAAAAAAGACTAACGGCTCAATAATATCTGAAAAGAAGCTAAAGTTAGCTAAACTTATTTTATGTAAAATAAGTAAAAATAAATTGAACATGACATGACCAAAATTAAACACCCAAGCACTAGAGATAATCAAACTATATATTCCAATCATTTTTACTTTATATTAATTACGTTCAACGGCTCAATGCTAAAATATTTACAGTAAATAAAATAAATTTCAGTTGAAAAGGACCCTTTTAATTCTAGCCCCCCCTCACTCTATGTGTTCTTTGTTACGTTGAGCCAAAATTTTCCCGTTTACTAGATGAAAGATTATAATCCTTGATCATTATCATTAACCATATTCGCAATATATACATATTATACGTCTAACTATATGCATAAATCTAGGCTATTAATTTGGGAACTAATTATTCCCTTTGACTAACTATATACAATATATTTAACACTAGAGATGTGTTAAATTTTACAAGTATTTGAATAAATTCTTAAATAGGCTTTAATATAATTGTTTATATCCCCTTTAATCCCATATCAGCCATATGGATTTTTCCTATTTGTCATATTCAACTTTATAAATATTTGTTGTCATTTTCATTTGAGCTAGATTCTCCTGAGCTCGTGTATCAATGTAAGGAGGTTAGGGGGGAAAAAACATTATTGTTGGGGACAATTTGTTTGACTTATCAGATGTGAGATTCCCTCCTAGAAAACAAAGTGTTTTCCTAACCTTTTTACATGCTTAAAAATTAATATGACAAATGCACATCTTCACCACCACTTCACCCCTCAATAATACGGAGTATTTTATTTCTCTTATAATTTTGTAAGGATAAAGACATTAAGTATCAGTACATCTTACAGGTCAATTATTACAATTACACGCGTAAACGCTTTAAAATGAAACCCCTAGCCATTTAATGTTAAGCACAAGTAGATGATGATGATAAAAGCCGAATATGTGGGTTTTCCACCATTTTCACTAAGCTTACTTGGTAATTTTTTTCAATGCCACATGATACTCAACAGTAAAACCGCTATCAAATACAATGTATGTACAAGGAAAAAAGCAAAAACAAATGGAACATTAAAGCAAGTTACAATTAGATACTGATTGTCCAAAAGGCAAACAAGAAAATTACTTTAGATTACAAAGCCTTTTCTAAAGGCCAACAACACTCCTTTTTTTTTTTTACCAAAAGAGAAGGTTAATTTAACAAAGCTTACACGTTTTTTTTACCACAAACTTCCCAAGCTCCCTAAACCAAACTAATTACCCACCCAAAAGGTTAATTACCCCAAAAAAAAGAGGTAAAAAAAACTGTCCAGAAAACAAAGGGGAAGCAGAAGTTAAAAAAAAGGGAAAAAAAATCCTAAGATCTATTTTTGCTTGAAGGTGCATTATTCACCTACGGCGCTCTGGAGTCCAATGAGGTAATCTCGGGCTAAAATGCGCCGATACAACTCGTGAGTCAAGTAACTCCATAATTGGCGTAAAATTCACACATCTTGGCACTTTGTACTGATTTATTGACGCACCACGTGAGATTGCATAGTCCATAAGTTCCTCAAACGTACCACTTTTAACAACCCGTATTTCCAACGCCCCTATTGAGTTATCCGCAACTCGGCCTTGTCGGTACACCGAGTTAAGAGACTCCTCCATCGATAGGCAACATTCGTTTAGTACATGACTCGGGGGCGAGTTCCCCGAGTCTTTTACTAGTAACTCCCAGTAGATCACGTAGTGACCTGGGATGGTTGTTGTGTCAGCGTAACTCGTGTACTCTACTACACTTGTGTTGTAGTCTTTGAGTAGTTGTGTGGCACTGTCTACTGCTCTTTGTAACTCGGACTCGTCTGTTTTGTCCGCGTCAATGCTTAGGAGTACGTTCTTACGTCTTACGAAATGGAACTGAGGGGCCGAGTTGTGGATGCCGGTGACTCTGAGGATGTCACCTACTCTGTAGCGGTACAGACCGGCGTATGTGGTGATCACGAGCTCATACTCTTTTCCCACCTCGACATCGACTAGGTCAACGAGTTGTGGGTCGGAGTCACGGGCCGAGTCGAGTGGGAGGAACTCGAAGTAGGCCATGTTAGGCATGATGGTGTAGGAAACCTCCGATGGTTTACACATAGGGTTTAAGTTTAACCCAAAGTAACATTCGGATGACGCATACATAGTACATGCACACGGTAAACCACCACTGTAAAAATCCAAAGTGGGAATGTACTGGGCCATTGCCCCGGTAACTATCACATCAAGGTACTTCGTATTGGGCCATATTCGGGTGATGATTCCTTCCCATTGATCCTTCTCACACTCCGCCACAATAAAATCCGCCAACTCCGGGTCGGGCTTCATAACCCGACCCATTGCTGATCGGATACCCGGGTCAGTAACCTTTGAATTAAGGCTCCCGTCCCGGATATCCTCAGCTAGCTGCCTCCAGTTGAGCTGGAGGAAACGGATGGCCCGGAGTAGACCCGAGGCAAATACCGCCCCTAGACGTAGAACAGACTTGCGCTCGTACATTCCACACAACATCTGTGAGTACATGCTCTGGTAAGAATCCGAGCATAGAATCGCCTCATTCGGGCTAGTATACACCATATACGGGTCGTAAGGACGGGTCTTGAAATGCTCACTCTTGTAGTAGCTAGTGAGAACGGGTCGGGCCAAAAGCCCGCCCGGAGTCTCGGTCTCCGATTTCACAAATAAGAAGTAAAGTCCTTTTCCTTTGTCAAGTCCTGGCACATACCTGTCACGTGCGTGGAATTATAGTTGAGTCAGTTTCTGCGATCCCAATAATATAAATATGATTGCAACATAAATTATTAGGTACAAATACCAAAGGTATTGAAGTCAAAATTTAATTATATGATAAAAAAAATAAGTATATATCTTGAGGAACAATTAATGGTAACTTACAGATTCATGACAGGCATTAGAAGGCTGTAGAGTAGTTGACGGCGATCTAATTCTTCCTTGATTGTTGGCATCAATTTCCTTTCTCCAGCTGATGTGCCCGAACTGCAAAATAAATTACTAATATATTTAGTTCACTCTTCAATTAATCACATATTCACGTCTTTTTAATGTACATCAAATAAAAAACGTAAAAAAGTCATAATTATTATTAACGTGTCTCAGTGTCTTAAACACGTATAATAACCACTTTTTATTGAATTACCCACATGATATATACTGTTAAGATGTTACAAATTATGACCTAACCCCAAATTGACTAAATCAAAATGTGTAAGTGTGTAACATAGTACTTGTACATTAACAAGAGTAACATTTTAGTTGATGTATGTGGTCACATTATTATGTCAAAAATAAAAGTGTATGTATGTACGTGGTGGGAGTGAAATAAAATGTACCTAGTGAGGAACTCGGAGATGGGGTGAGCAGAAAGGATAGGGGAACGATCGCCATTGGCGATACGTTGAATTTCAGGTTGAAGATCCTCATAAGTAACCATAGGGAGTTTAGTCTTAAAAGTCTCCCTATCATTAGCACCATTGAGCTTAAAACGCTTAAGATACTCGGTGTTAGCGTTACGGGTGAGGATCTCACCCAACACCTTCTCTTGTATGATATCGGCGTTTCGAGTCATATCCTCAATGAACTGAAGAGCCTTAGCGTCCTTTTCGCAAACGGGCGGGCCGAGAGGGGAAGACAAAACAGAATCAACAGCCATTTTGGTATTAGCTAAAAGATGCAATTGTTTAAATTTGTAAAAGGTGTTTTTGTAGAGGTTAAGCTTTACAAAGGAGAAGTTAAAATAAATGGAGAGATTTTTGTGCATACGTTATTATTAGTTAGTATAAAAAAAGGAAGAGGAGAATTTATTTTTGGTTGAGGAGAGGAGGGAAGAGAAATGAAGGTATATATAGGGAAAAAAATATTGTTATATGGACACGTAAGATGCCACGTAGGAGAGAGAAAAAAGGAGGGACAAAAGGGAGGTGAGAAGGAAGGTGAGAGGAGCAATAGAGGGGTCGAGGAAAGCGAGAGTGTAGGGTGAAAAGGGGGACAAAGTGGGGGCCCGGACACGTGGAAGTAGTCAAGAGGAGGTGAGCATGTGGGGTTAGGTGACTGCCATGTCAGCATAGTACAGCCTGTAAATTTTGTTTTATTATATAAAGTAAAAAGAGAAATGAAAATAAATAAAACGCGTCACCGAAGCGCACGGCTGGTTTGAGGGTGCAGGTGTTGGACGGAGATAAAGACGGGAAGACGGGAGAACTCGGCAAATTCAACTGTAGTTTACGAAAGAAAGAGAAAAACTGAAAAAGAGTTGTTATTATCATCTTATTATTAATAATAATAATAATAATAATAACTCCCTTGGTGTACCCCTCACGTGTGGTGATACATGTTTGATGAGACAACATGGTATGGGGGGGGGGGAGAATTTTATTGGAAAGTTTGGGGTTATCGGTTTTTTTTTTTTTTTTGGATGGTTTATAAGGTAACTAAATTATACTCGGTTTTGGTCATCTATGTAAATAATTATATATGAAACAAATATAGAAATAGACATTTAATTTTGAGACATTCAATTAAGAAAACAGGCATTTAATAAAGGGACGGAAAGAGTTTCATATATAAAATTTAATTTCAAGTCATTGTTTTGAATTTGGTTGGCCTAGATAGTTCATGTGTTTAATAAATTGTAACGAAAATAAAATTCAGTTTTAAGTATAGATCAAGTATTAATTTTTAAAGTCTATCAGTCAAAACTTTACATTATTTTATCATTTGAAATATCAAAGCAAATCGGTTAAAATATGAAGCAAATAGGTCCTTTTATAAGTTCATTTGGACATAGTGTCGTTTTAGTACTTAGGTTCCACTATTTGTTTGTCAAATGTTAAAGTAGTATTATGAAGTATTTGTTGCCTTTCGATTGGTTTGGAACTTATAATAAGGTATTTATATTTCGTGTAATATAATGATAGTTTATATTAAATAATCAACCTTTTAATCTTTTTATTGGAGTATAGCAAGTTACGTCTAAACCTTTTCCCCCCTTACTAATAAGCTCCAACATCAAAAAAAAAAATGTGAGAGATATGTTCTATGAAATGAAAAATGATACGGAGGATAATTTAGTTCTACTCCGTATTTTTTTATAAAAATATTGTCAAAGTTCAAAATTTTGGTCGGTTTCTTATTAAGTGGACTAAAATTTTTGTTTATTTTAATTTTAAACGAACTTTTTTTCTAATACTCGTACTAACATGGTAAAAAACCTTTACTAATATTGCAATTTTTTCATATGAATACACGTAGTACCTACTATTTATAGCACTCCGTAGAACTAGTTAGTGGCCTAGATACTGGCCTAACAATTTGGTATCACTCATAAAAATTATAATAGCAAGTTGTTAGTTTGCTAGTCCCCTCCAAAAAAGGGGTAAATAATTTTGTGTTATTATAACAAAATACTTTGTAGGAGATCAACATGAACTTTGTAAGTCTTTTTCTCATTTAGAAATTGATGCATAATAAAGATTTTTTTTTATACAATTTTCATAATGATGAGAGTTAGCATTATTATTTACCTAGATTGTTCAATTTTTAATTACTTAGCATAGTTAATCAAAGTAAACATATAATGGATGATAATCTTAATCATAATTTTTATACTCCGTAACATTCAAATTCAATTAACACACCTATAATTATTACATGTGCCGTAATATTTAGCACCTTAAATTTTTTTACTAACTTAGATATTAAAATGCATGTGAACAAACTCCATAAAGTTCATATCACCTTTTCTATGAAGATAATGTAAATCACAAGTTCACAACAACACGATTAACCCTTAGTTCCATATAAACTAATATTAGCTACATACTGCATACCTCGTATAAGATAAGTTATAAAAAGTACTAACAAGACGATTGATGTATACTGTACAAGTTTTAGTAAACAGGAGCACGTCTTAAACTATAATTAGTTAATTGATTGATCAGTTTGATGGGACAAACAAGCTTAATAATCCAACGTTAGCATGTTTTATATTATGATCAATTTTTTAAATTATCTTTTATAATCTTTGAAAATTATGTACTGGTATTGAAGTATTAGGTGCTGTAGTGGACTGAGGTAGTGCTGTTGGACTGCTGCAACCAGATGAGACAAAGATAAGCATATTGCGTTTTCTTTTGTTTATAAATAAATGCTACGTGGTACATACATTAATGAATATTTATATTATCACTTTCAAGTGTTCATGGAAATTAGTATCTTACTCTCTCTATTCTTTATTTTTTGTCCTATTTGACTTTTTACGGTCTCTAAGATACATTTTTAAACGTATATATCTCTATTTTTATATGCGTAAAAATTATAAAAATTTGATATTAATAAATTATATAATGAGACAGTTTTAATTAAATCCCACATGAATATATTATCACTTATAGATTAACGAGAATTCATGGTCAAAATTTTAAAAGTTTGACCCATATTTTTGCAAAGGGGCAAAAATTAAGGGACGGAGGGAGTAATATGTAGTACATATCTTTCAAATAGTACTTGTATATTTATTTAATTCTAAAAGGCAAAGCATGTTACCTTTTTGTCCTTAATTTGTCAAAGTATTTATTTAGTAATAATGGAAAAAAAAAGTGTTATTCTTAATTTGCTAGAATACTTTTGGATCCTAAAAAATACTTAATTAATACTTTTATGTTTCTTTTCATAGCCTTGTTAGAAATAATGTGTAATAATCGCCCTGCCAAAATACTTGTAACAACAAGTAATACTCAATATGTAAGATGTAACAACAAGAAATAAAGGTTGAGTCTAGCAAATTTCAACCATTTATAACTTACTGCATATTTTATATGTATGGAATAATATAAATTATCCCCTTTATTTCAAAATATCTCCTTTTGTTTTTCATTTTTACCTATTTTCTCGTATATATTACTATTTATTTTGTCTACCTTATAATACTGAGTTCAACTTTTTTTTTCCCCTCACAATTTTAACATTTTTTTCTAATTATATTTGTTTTCTTTGATGTATCGCTTTCGATTTGTCTATTCACATAAGGGCAAAAGATAGAGGATGAACTTACGACAAAAACCTTGAACCCTATGTTTTGAATATATAATCGAAGAAGAAAAGTTAGAAATTAAATAGGTAAAATGTTTTACTTGGTCCCCTTAAATTATGTTACTCTAAATTAATTTTCTGATTCCGCCAATATATTTCACGTGCAAGATTCCTTAATCTTTATGTGAAACCTTACAAACAAAAGTTATTCCATACTCTAGTGATTTTGAAGGAGGAGGTATAATTTAGAACCATGGTATAAATAAAGGTGTACCAGTTAAAATTAAAAATGAAGAACAAAAAACAGTTGGTTCCGTATCTTGTAGAAAGAGGTCTGAGCTGCTTGTCGCTCTCTGGCTCTAATCAGAAGTTGTTAGCCCTTGTCCCTAAGCTATACAAAGGATTCTTATGTTTGATAAGACAAGTATATAAATATTTAGTATTTAATATAATTAATTCCTCAAAAATACGGAAAGACTTTAATTTGGGACAAAAATATAAACATTTGTCGTAACGCAAATGATGCAATCATGTTTCTTGATGATTTATAAGTGCCCTATTTATATCTATATATATCTAGTATCTTGTTTGAACACTGATTGGGGCCAATTATTTGATTCCATTTTCATTTTTATAAATTTGTGCATGTTTTCATGTTTTTTTTTCTGTGGATTTTTCTTTTTGTTGGATAGTATGGACATAAATATATGGGTAGGTTTTTGTAATTATAATAATAATTCTTACAAATAAACAGATATAAACTGATTGTATCAATACTTTGGATTCACAAACCAAAGGTTATTCTTGTAGTGACAATTGATAATGTCAATTTTCAAGTCCACGTCAATAATGAAGATTCTCGGACAATTTCATTAAGGATAATCTAGCTACATCAATTGGTTACTTGTGAGTTGGGATTAATTGTCCAACATTGAAGAAAAGAAAGAAGAATGAATAATGTATAAGTTCCTATGACATTAATACTTCAAAAGTAATGATCAATTAACTTAGCTAGTTAAAGTCTTGAGGGGTGGTACTTGATTAGGGGATTTTTCCCCACCAATCACCATCTGACAAGTGGACCAATCAGGTTCCGCCATGTGTCCGTCACATGGGCCAATAAGAGTCTGCCACGTGTCAAGCAATGATCCGTCCACTATGGACCAATTACGACACGACACGTGTCCTTCCCATGACACCTGGGATAACCGGTCACCTAGGCCCAACTTCCGTGGGAAGCCCAATCAGCCCAAGGTTAACCTAAACCTAGATTGGCACGTTTCCCGAGGTTATAAATACCTCCCTTAATCCTCATTAAGGGAGATTACGCAGATTACACACATTAAACTCTCTCACCTAGAGAGACCCAATCACTTTAATTTCCGCATTAATTACTCCTTAATCAAGTACTAACTTGACCGTCGGAGGCGGATCTCCAATCATCCGGAGCATCCGTTTGTTTTGCAGGTACAGGCGCCCGGTTCCAGTCTCGGAATTGTAACTCTCCCGCAGGACATCAGAAAACCCCGAAACATCTTGGCGCCGTCTGTGGGGAGAGTACTTCTGAGATGACATCCACGTTTGTACCGGCTCCTGAAGAGAGACGTCCCCTGGACGACCCTCTAGTTCGGTCGGACCACGATACTGAGAATGAATTTAAAGTTGAAGCTAACACAGCTTCAGACGGGACCCTAAGGGCCCGACGTACCCGTCATACCGAAAGGAGGGAACGGGAACATCTTCATACAGGAAGCGAGCCAGCAGGCGCACCGCCTGTTCGGCAGCAGCCGACTGATGGGTCTGCTCCCATCACAAGGAACGAACTCATGACCTTCATGAGGGACTTCAAGGGAGAAATTCAAGAGTTGATCAACAAGAAGCCGCCAACTCTGGACAAGGAGCAGTCGGCTAAGAAACCCTCCACTTCACGGAAGAGGAAGCCAGTTCAAGGGCGAGAGGCGACCCCTCATCCTAAATCTAGGAAGTGGGAGCCACCTGCCCTTGATTTCACAAAATACCGTTTTCCTACTCCAGGAAATAGGAAACCTGTTCGTCATATTCAGGCGGACGGGTCGAGGAAAACATACACAGACGCTCGGCTACTGCTAGAGCA